CAGTTGCTTAAATTGGAAAATTTACTGCGATGATCATACTTCACTTTCATCTACTACCGCAGTTCAAATATGAATTATTTCATATATACTTCACAGTAATAGTATTCATTGTAAAAGTGCTGTACAGTACTATGACTTTTTTCATACTGACTTTTTATCCACATTTACATAAGGCTTCATGCAACAGATCATTCTTATGCATACTTTTAGACTTGAACACTTGATATTTTATGGTGGCAGTCCTCTGCTATTAATTGGTAATGTGATAACTTTAGGAGAGTATTAGCTTATTGTCTGAGAAGGAGGGTGGACAGGGAAATATTTGGTACAAGGCCATGATGGATGCAATGACCTTAAGGCACATACATTTGTATGCCTTCTTATTGATTACTTTACCCTGAGTAGCTGGATGTCTTTCATTGCATGTGCAAATGTCAAGAGAAGTCATAAGAAATTTTCCCCCATGCCATGTGTGCCATAATTTTGTTGATCTTTATTTTCAGAATCAACAAAGATGTAACCATAGTTGGTAGAAATCCGTCATCTTCAGATATATTCTTGGATTCTAACAAGAATAAAGTTATGATATCTAGACTTCATGCACGAATCGTCACAGAGAAAGATAGCAAAGGAAACTATACTTTCAAAATCTCAGACACAAGCCTCAACGGCACTTACGTAAATGACATTAAGATTGCTGATTCCTGTAATCTTCAGCCAGGAGATACTGTTACATTTGGACATCTTAAAGGGGCTGTGTTAGCCCCTGGTGTACTTGCTCAGCAACCAGATTCCGAGTTTCGTTTTAAAGTAAGTTACACATTTAACTAGCCAGTCTAGTTGTTGTTTACTAACCATTTTTCTCACCCTTGTTTGCAAAAAAGTCATCTGTCTTGTGACATAAGTACAGTGTACACATCTGCACTTACCTATGCTCTTTTGAGATGAGACTTGTAAACACGTAAATAGACCTTGACTTTTGAACTTTATGGCTGTTATTGCAGTTGAGCCTGTGATAATATGTTCACAATAATGGCCAAAAGGGTTAATACAACAGTCACAATGGCTAATGGCCCAAGTGCCTTATTCCTCGGCAAAACGCTTAGAACTGTAGTAAAGGTGTAGTCTTTGTAAGGCCAAGTGACTCTTACAGTCTGGGCCGATATTCTCGGTTTCTGTAGCACCAAGCTACTAACAGTATTTCTACTGTGTCCCTGATTGGATGCTAGTCCATCACAGGTTATCCCCTAGCGTTAAATTTGCCGATACCCATTTACACACCTGGGAGGAGAGAGGCACTGTGAAAGTTAAGTGCTCTCTAAGGCATAGTTTACACTAGCAACATAATGACATAAGAAGGATGTTATACCATTATGTTGACTGTGTGAGCATCCTGACATAACAACATAACAGCAACATAACAACATGAACATAACAACATACATGTAAGGCGAAAGCTGATCTTTTCTTTATGTTGTTATGACATTATGGTTCTGTTGAAACAAGTGTGAACATCATCGACATAACAACATAACAAAGAACCAATCAGAGTGGTTCAAGAATTGTCGAACCCTGTCCGCCACCAGCATTATTTTCAAAATGGCAGCAGTGAGCAAGAATTGACTGTTGGCGAGCAATAAATTAATATTGACAGCTTGGATAGATGAAGAAGCACTTGCCGAAGCGTTTGGATACTATCCATTGTTTTATGACAAATGTATGAAGGAATTTAAAGACCAAAAAGTGTCTCCTGCTCCATTTCTCACCTAGCATTATGTCATTATGTTGATGTTCACATTGCTGACATATAAGGCGATTATGTCATTATGCCGCCAGTGTGAACTGAGCTTAAAGGAACACAGTGCAATGACCACAGCAATGGCGACGCGTGAACCTGAACTACTCAACCCAGAATCCAGCATGCTAACCATGAGGCCACCTTGCTTCCACGTGAACTGCAATAACAGAGCTCTGTTTGTTGCATTGGAAATCTCACTCAGATTCATGAAGCACAAATAAAGACTCTCAACATAATTTTCTAAAATTATTCTTTTATTCTCAGTATATACATATATATATATTTTCTTTTCAATAAATTTAGTTTGAGACGTACCCTTCTACACCTCCAAACAAGAAACAGAGAACTTCAGAGGACATCACTTCCTCTCCAGAATTTCAAAGAAAGGTATATGCATGTAGAGGTGGTCACAATATGTCTACATGATTTCCTCTCCCTGGTGTTGATGTTGTTTGATTCTCATTGATTCTCAGGGCTGTGCTAACAGGCAACTAACTCTTGCCATTGGGCAACTGGTAAAACTTACTTTTTTCATAATAAGCATAAGTGCTGGGCACCAAGCGTGTCATGGTTAGGAACCTTTAGGCTCCTCATAGTTTTTCTTAGACCGCAGCCTTGATTCAGTCATTCTCCTTTTTCCTTTTATTTCTAACATAGCACTTGTGCATGTACATTGTATACAGGGTTGCTGCGGTCAGGGAAAAGTCAGGGAAATTTTGATTTTATTTAAGGTCAGGGAAAAGCCAGGGAGTTTTGTATCAGGTCAGGGAGTTTCCAAATCCCTGTTCAAAGGCAGTGAAAAGTCAGGGAATTTTATCTAAGGTTGCCGCAACTTATTATATTAGTTGTTTTTGTATAGAAAAGGTAATTTTGTTTTAAAAATTATCTGAGCCATCCTTATTTTTGTTGATTCATGGCCAAAATAGTCATCCTGTAGGGTCAGTGAAAATTGCTTTACAGTCAGTGAAAAGTCAGGGAAAAGGCAGGGATTTTTTTTTGTTCAGGTGGGTGGCAACCCTGGTATATTAGAAGTTATTTTGTTGGATTTCACCAGACACCAAGCCCACAAGTACCAAAGCCCGCTCTAACAACTGCTCCAAAGACCCCATTGGTTCAAACAGCTCTTGTGCCAGATCTCTCGGCCTTTTTATCTCCACGAACACCCAGTCATTCAGCGGCATCACCATCCACAGTGAAATACAGGTACATATATACAGTAAGAACCTGTATTAAATCAATGTGCTGGTCACAGCCNGGGGGAGGCAAGTAACATTTTTTAAGCTTTTACATATAGTTAGCCTCTATTTTTGCTGTTTCCAGCAGTCATTTCCTCATCACAGTATGGTAAGCAACCAGTGGAAATGGCTGATATTCATAACATTTGAACTCGCTTGCTTAAATGGGTCCCCTGAAAGTGACAAAACTGCAAAATAATTCTGTAATAATTGGGTAATGATTACAAAAATGTGTTGAACACAAGCATTCATCAGTCATTGAACACCTTCAAGCATTCATCAATCGTTCAAAAATTCTGATGAAAGTCTTACATGTAGTTGGATAATTCCTTCTGAACTTCAAAGAAAATAGGGAAAAGTTTGTCATTCTTTAGCCAACCTCCAGCTGCCGCACAATTATTAATGTGGTTCCAGAAAATGTCCATACCCACCACAAAGAGGGTTATTAGAACTTCCAAGGGGGAGGAAGGTCTCCAAAGGTTAAGAGAAATAGTTTAAACAAAATTGTGAATCAAAAGTGGAATTTCCAGCAGGATGGAGAGGGGGTCATACCAAACAACCCTTCACGCGAGGAAGGATATTGCCCTGACAATACAATGGCTGATGGTGAGTTGTAGCTCGGCCAATCAGATAGCATAATTTGTAATTACTTAGTAGAGTCTGACAGAATTCTTCCTCTACTGATCAGTGAACATCGCAAAGACTGATTACAAAATGAAATAGAAATTACCGTACACGTATTGATTCAAGCACATTTTATCCCAGATTGCCTGATTCTATACATGGAAAGCAAACATGGCGGCAACATTTTGTCAGTGAGAGCTCTGATTCTGAAAACAGTGATGATGATCTTAAGGCATATGCAGCTGCAGCAGGTGGAGCAATGGAGGATAGTGACGAAGACATGTTCTCTGTTCAGCTCCCTGACTCTCCTGCGTCATACGATGAACCTGGTACATCCTCTGCTGGTGCGAATCATTTTGCACCACTAACTGACAAGACATCTTACCAAACTTACACACGTCATAATGAAGAGGATACACAAAGATCTACAGTTAAAGAAGAGCACAAGGACACTAGGAAAGGTACACGGACTACTTACTAACCAAGAGTGAAGTCTTTACTGGAAATCCGAAACTGAGACCCTGTCCTATTGACAGAGCGATAGCGAGGTCTATATGGCAAGGCCGAAGTTTGAGATTTTCTCGTGAAGACCAAACATTTGAGTTAAAAAGTTGTTTATTACATGTATATGCTTTTTACTTTGGCTTTACACTACCGTAATCTGTATGTGGGCATTGCAGGAAACTAATGCACTAGAATTAGCCAATATCGCTTACAAACACAAGCCATAATTATACAGTAATACATGTAAATAAAGATATTAAATTTTGTCTACTGTATTGTACACTGTAATTAATTAATATGAGCTAAAGCTGTGTAACTAAAGTTGATGTGCATATA